TTGAGACAACACCTTCCCTCCCTCTTCCCCAGCTAATTTCCCGCTTCAGCCCGTATAAGAATCCCCGTGGAAAAATGAACTTTGGCAGCTTGATCAGAGTTCTTTGTCTTGCTGTGATTCTTCGTGTCTCTTGTCCCATCATTCCAGGTCCCTGGGAGTTCGAGTCTCCGTCTCCCGCCCTGCTGGCCGGGGCAGCCAGGATGTGCAAAGCCCACTGGGCTCTCAGGGGCTAAATAGGCTGCACTACCTCACTTCTGCCTGAGACTGTGGGATGGGGGAAAGGCTGAAAGGAGACAGGATTTCAGAACCTCATCAGTCATAGGCAGCTATGGTGGACAGGAAGTGGGAAGACTAGAATCTTGGAAACCCTAGTTATGCCTGAGAGTGTGATGGTAAACAGAGAACTAAAAATGCTACAAATCATAATATCCCAAAAACTTTTGTTGATTGTTGACTGCTCTCAGCCAGGAAGAATTCTATAGATCAATTTCCATGGTTCTTTACTGGCTTTTTTTCACAAAATAAAAAAGATGCCTGAATCAGTTGCATTTGGAAGATGCTTGGCAGTGGAAGTCATCTAGCTGCTGTGATGAATCTGGGTTTAAGCTCAAAGTAATTATTTTTATATATTAAATTGTTGTTATTATTACCCATTATCAAGTATAAGATCTGTATTCCATCCAACTTAGTGGCAGTGTGGTTGCCCAGCCTAAAATCCTTTGTTACATCTCTACCACTATAAAAGTATCTACTTAGGAGGAAAGAATAGAAGTGAGTGAAGGGACAGTTTGTTGTTATACTGTCGATATCAGCTTAAAGGCAAAGGAACATGATGCAATATGAGCACTGGAAGGCCAGTTTGGGACTGAGAAATTACATAATACTCCAATGGAGCAGTAAAAATCAATCGATAGTCATTAGGGGGTAGAGATAGGAAGGACAGGAAAACAATTCGTATAACCCCCAAACAGCATCTCAGCACTGTGGATGTATAAAATAAGTCTCTGGCAATTCTGAGCTGAAAGCGGGTGGATCTACAGGACCTAGTGGGATAATAAAGATGGATGCCTTGCTGTGAGGATGTTCTGTAAGCACACACTCAAACAGAGACCAGCTGCAATCCATTTTGGCAATGGAGAGGAGAAGTGATACTGATTTGTATTGTGGTAGAAGCAGAAGTAGGGAGAAGTATTTAGAATCTGAATGTATCAGAAAATACACCCCGTGTTACAGATGCTAGATTGTGTAGCTGGTGGGTTTTAAGTGAGGGGAAGGTAAGGAGTTATTTCCACATAGGCAGAAGTGGGAGGGGGATGATTTGAAGGCAGAAGAAGGGTCTCCAAGGAGTTGTTGGTCATCCCACTGTCACACCAATGTTCTCCAAGTAAAGCAGATGGCAAAGCATGTGAAGGTGGGCATGTTAGAGGTGTGAGGACACATTCCCAAGTCAGCCTAAGTGTCTACTTCATGCTTTCCAGGCACAGCTGGAGACTGGAAGAATCACTTCACTGTGGCTCAAGCTGAAGCCTTTGACAGAATGTTGCAGGAGAAGATGAAAGGTTTCCCTCCAGAGCTGTTCCCATGGGAATAAGGACCAGAACTACTATGTATTGTATGAATACTGGCATTAGATTTTCTGTCCTTTTTTGTGTATGGTAGACTGGGTGTGATCATGGAATAAAATCTTTTGTTTAATCTTGTAGCCTGAGTTCTCAAATATTTTCTTTTACAACCTTTTTATTAAAAAAAAGAAAAGGTTGGTAGGATACTTAACTATTTACTTCATGGAACCCCAGTGTGTGTGTGTGTCTGTCTGTCTGTCTGTCTGTCTATGTGTGTGTCTGTGTGTGTGTATGTGTGTGTTCATGTGTTTGATATAGTTTGTACATTTGAAGGCCAGAGGTCAGCTTTGGGTCTTCTTCTTCAGACACTTCTAGTGCATTTAATTTTTATTTTTCTATTTGTTTATGTATCGGGATACATGTGTGCCATTGAACACTGCTGGAGTTAAGAGGACGACTTTTGGGAGCTGGTTCTCTCCTTCCACTATGTGGGGTCTGGGGATCAAACTCAAGTCCTGTGGCTTAAGAGCAAGCACCTTTAACCAGTGAGGCATTTCACTGGATACTTTGTTTGTTTAAGAAAATTATATATATTTGCATAGAAAACCTTGGAGAGACATACGTTATAATCACATAAGAAACAAACAAGAAAAACGCAAACCAACCCAAATGAACAAAACATACAAGGACATAATTTCTAAAACGAAGTGCAAAGTATATAAAAGCAAGTATTTCACACTTCATTTGCAATTACAGAGAGGTGATTTAAATTAAAAATGAGATCGCTTTATTTTTGTTTACCAGTTGGGAAAATTTAATTAAACCCTGCAATTCAAATAGCACACTTCTTGAGTATACTATGCCAAATTTATTGTGTAAAGATATTAATTATACACCCATAATGTTCTGCAAAATCCATACTGTAAAAAATGTGTACCAGCCCCAAGTTTTACCTACATAGCGCATGGTAATTAAAGTACCAGACTGGTGGAACTAACCTTCTTGGATGTTTAAAAGTCGTACTTTGAGGCCTATACTAATCTGGTCAGAGGGACTTGAAGGACACTTTTTGCTCCTTGCCCTGCAAGGTCAACTAAGTTCCAGAGGACTATGGAGCATCTTGCAAAATGTCCTGTAACTGGGTCACCTGTCCTCCTATTCAGGAAGGTCATGCAGACCCCACCAGATGGGCTTGAACCAGTGCCCAGTCTACAAAGAGGAGGGTCAACTCAGAGGAAATATTTCCTCCATGCTTCCAAGTGAAGCCAGCCACAGTC